TCGAGAATGTAAAGAATGGGAATAGCGAGGAGATGGTCCTAATAAAATAGAAACATGCACCACAGTAAGGAGGGAGAAGAAAGGCTTATTTAAGGCCCTTAAAAGGACACGGTCAACCCCCCAGGCCTAAAATGTCCTGTTTGAATTAACATAGTGGTTTAATTAAAAACTAAGTAGAGAATTCTGCTTAATTTGATTTTCAATTCAAGCTCTGCATCCGCCCGTGGCTAGTGGCCAATTTCCGCGTCTCGGCACAATATGCAAGGGGCGGTTTTAAAATCGATTGCCCAGGGGAATCAATGGGAGTACGGTGGAGCCATATGCCGTTCGGGGACTCCACCAGACTTAGACATAGTAAAACAGCACCAGGAGGGTGGCCAAAGGAATAAAAAAGAAATTTAACTTAACCATATTTCAAGTTTGTCATGACTCAAATCACTCTGCTGAATCTACCAATTAGAAGCGTTTTCCAAGCCCTCTTTGATATCCCTTCGGAACGAGCTGCGTCCAGGATAACCAATGAGCACAGAGCTTTAGAGGATACGCACACACACAAAGGAATACACTTGCTAGCCAGCTGTGTCAAACATGCCAGTGACCGTCTGTGATGCGTTCGCTTCAGTGAGGCAGCAGTTAGTCTGGGACACAGGCAACAACACCGTGTAAAGAATGACAGGTCTCCACAGACGTTATGTGGAACGTGCACTAGGAAACTCCTACGATCTCATGTTACAGAAAGGCTTAATAACGAAGGGTTTAAACACATACTACACACATTGAAGGCTGAACTGTGCAATGCTAATAACCCTTGCAGTTTTCACGCAATTGATTTTTTTAAGTTTGTTTATTTATTTTGACGGGGGAGTGGCAGAGAGGGAGAGAGAAAATACAAAGCACGCTCTGCACTGTCAGCTTGGAGTCTGAGACGGGGCTCGATCTCATGAACCGTGACATCACAACCTGAGGCCGAAATCAACAGCTAGTTGCCCAACTGACTGAGCCGCCCAGGTGCCCCACATGTAATTGATTGTAAACCGAAAAATACGAATCTTTAAAACAACACAATTACCTTAATTTTAAAGTTTCTAAACAATTCTAATAGAGTCTAGAATGCACCTTATCTTTAAGCAGGTCTTTCAAAATGGGAAAAATAATCTGTAACCTTAAAACCACCCAAGATCATATGTAAATAATTAAGAGCTGACTGTACCATATTCCATAGAATATTTTTAGTGAAATGCATTAAGCTCTAGAATAATGGCAATAATGGCTAACATATCCTGGGTTATGTGTTTTACATGAATAGTCTCCCCTCATTTAATCCCTTAAATAATACAGTCAGGGAACCATCATTACTATACCCATTTTACAGAAAGAAACCCTGAGGCCCAGAGGAGAAAACCAGCTGAGACCATGAGCCCTGGGGCAAATCCAAATCTGCTCACTTTAGCCCTCTCTACTGCAATCTCTCTTCCACAGGCCCCTTCTCTTCGGTGCACAAAGAGCAGAATTATTCTGTCTCTTCCTCCCCCCCCAGGCTACACCCCATCTCCCTCCCTTCTCTAACAGCTTTAAGGACCAACTTCTTAATTTGGTTCCTACAACTCCCATTCATGATCCAACTACCCAAGTCAGACAAATGGCACCCAACCATCCGAGCTCTGCCTCCTTGCCCTCCTCTCAAGCCTCTGCTGAGTTTGCTGGTCATGTCGACTGTCCCCTACAGACATCCAGCACATCAGTCCCCGCTGAGATCACAAAACGGAGCTGGTGATCATGAGGGATTCTGAGAAGACTAACGTAGTCAAAGATGCACTTAGAAAAAAATATTCTTTTGAGTGTGTATAGGAGACCAGAAGTAAAAAACTTAGAGGAAAGAATGCTGTACAATTGTAGGTGTGAAGTATCTTCAGTTACCTTCTTAATCCTTCCTCAAGCTGCTTCTCCCCTCTGACCTTAGTTTGTGAGAGGGAACAAGAGAACAGTGACATGTCACTGGGGTTTGTGTCCGTTTTTTCTAATTCTAGAGATAGTTGGTAATTCTGCTCCAATAACTTTAGCCACGACCCTCTTTGAGTTGGTTAGTTCAGCCAGGGAGGAAAATAATTTGGAGACAAGGGGTCTGTCCACACTACCCACTGTTTTTAAAATAACCTATGTAATGGACAACCAGAGTTTTATAGAAAGTATAAATTAGGTAAAGACATCAATAATGCCAAATATGAAAATACATTCAACGCTGAGCTTTACCAGTTGTTTTTGTACGTGGCAAGATTACACAGGAGACAGAGATGGGAAGAAAGAACAATCTGCATATTTACAGCAACATCAACAGAGCGAGGTTAATGGCACGCGCCGAAACACTGTTACCAGAACGAGGTGCGTGACCGATTCAGTATGGTGACATCTCTACAAAACACAGCGCTTCCCATCGTGTGGTGCGTGTACTCCTTCCCTCAGTGACATAATAGGTTTCAACTCTGACGTGTGTATTTGTCTCCATACTTAAATAAAACAGTAGACGCGAAAATCTTTTTCAAAATCCTTTGCCAACTCCCTGTCATCTGTAGCACAAAATGCAAACCAACTGGCAGACAGAAGAACCGAGCCCTTCAGAACTGGACCCCAACAAGCTTCCGCGCACCCTGATCTCTCCCCAACTCTCCATTCTTGAGCTAAGTGTCCGCATTCCCTCAATTCAGTCACAGTGCGTGCCTCTGCTCAAGCCAGGGGCGCCACATTCCAGCAGCAGCCTGCTCGTCCGTCAAGACTCAGCTCAAGTGCGGGCTGACTCCTCCGCCAAAAGCCTTCCCCAGTTCCCGAGGCGAATGGAGACCCCGCTCCTCTCGGCGCCTCCCTTTGCGGCTGGCGGTCTAAAAGTTCAGGGGGCTGCATCTGTTTGTTTACACCGTTTCTTCCTCCCTCTGTCTATCCCTTGGAGGCAGAAGCCTTGTCTTTTCGGTCCTGTCCCCAGCAAGGCCCTACAGTAGTAGCACAGTGACTACTGCTCAGTAGGTGCTGAGTAAAACTCTGCTGAATGAAGGAAAAGCCATCAAAAGCTTTGGCTCTAAAATTATACAGAAATTGCTTTCTCAAGTGTCTCAATGACATCACTTCCCCTCGATGTTCATTCCTACCAGCCCTCTTCAACGTAATAGTTTACATTCCGTTCTGATCACGGTACCTTTACTAAACACGAAATCAACTGTGACTTTGCAGCTTCAAACTATTAAAGTATGGAATAACATCCGGAAAGCAGAAAGGTGCATCCACGAAAATGACACTTTATCGCCTCTCAGTGACTCTTTCCTGGTACCCTTCAACACACAAACCTAAAAAGTGTGGCACTTAAGGTTTAAAATCAGAAGACTCGGGGCGCCTGGGTGGCTCAGTCGGTTAAGCATTCGACTTCGGCTCAGGTCATGATCTCGCGGTTCGTGAGTTCAAGCCCCGCGTCGGGCTCTGGGCTGACGGCTCAGAGCCGGGAGCCTGCTTCAGATTCTGTGTCTCCCTCTCTCTGACCCTCCCCCGTTCATGCTCTGTCTCTCTCTGTCTCAAAAATAAATAAACATTAAAAAAATAAAATAAAATAAAATCAGAAGACTCATCAAAATGTTAGACTAAACAGTTTCATTCCTAAGAAACTACAAAAAGTTATATGAAATAAAAAGTAATAAAAATTCAGTTCACGGCTTTCCTTGCCAAATTCATTTAACTGGCGTTATAGTATTGTTCAACAACAAGATGCATAGGCATACTTCCACTTCATCTATCACAATACAAACAGAACTAACCACTTAAAAAGGCATAACATGTCTATAAATAAACTGTAACGCAAGAACTCACTTTTACCAAAAAGTATTAACTATTTAAATCTCTGTACTATATTCCAAATGTCTATAGCAAAGAACTCCACAAGCTATAAACAGAAATATCATTCTTTCCATTTTAAAATGTTATTTTCAAAGACAGCTGAAGTTATTACCACCGATACGGTCTGGACTGATTGTTTAAGATGCAGTCTCTTGGGGCACCTGGGGAGCTCAACTGGTCAAGCATCTGACTCTTGATTTCAGCTCAGGTCATGATCTCACGGTTTTTGAGTTGAAGCCCTGTGTCAGGTTCTGTGCTGACAGTGCGGAGCCCACCTGGGATTCTCTCTCTCCCCTCTCTTTCTGCCCCTCCCCTGTTTGCTCTCTCTCTCTCTCAAAATAAATGAATAAATTAAAAAAAAAAAAAAAAAAAGATGCAAAGTCTCTTGTTTTGCTCTTTCCTAATCTCTCACATTCACTAAGATCAGTAACTCACAGTCTTGAGAATTTGACTATCTAAAGGAGCATGTTGGATTTTATAGCATGCTACTCTCTGAAAAAAACTGGAAGTGAAATAACTTTTACATCAAGATATGTTTTAAGATCTTAAGATTTCGTGTCATTCCTTTTTATTTTTTTTTTAATGTTTATTTATTTTTGACACAGAGAGAGAGACAGAGCATGAGCGGGGGGAGGGACAGAGAGAGAGAGGGAGACACAGAATCCAAAGCAGGCTCAGGCTCTGAGCTGTCAGCACAGAGCCCGACGCGGGGCTCGAACTCACAGACCACGAGATCATGACCTGAGCTGAAATCGGACGCCCAACGGACTGAGCCCCCCAGGCGTCCCTTATGTCATTCTTTAAACTAAATAAGACAGCCTAAGAACAGCTATGTTGTCAGCTTTATTCCCTACAAACAAGTATTCTACCACATTTGCACATACTATAAAAACATCCAAAAGTCAAAAGACAACTTCCTCCCTGTGGACACACAAGATCATTCAATATGCAATGTTATTAATTCTATTGTTAGCATTATTAATATTAATAACACACTGCTATTATTACTAATTAAACTTTTTATATTTCAGTCAAATGGTTGTTCAAGCCCACTCTCACAAGTTTAACATGAATGACACATGCTTCTTAATTTGACAGATTTAATTCCAAAACATGATTCACTTTACCTTTTTCAGGCCAGCAAAACCCTCTGATTCCAGGAAGAAAAAGGCAAAGGGCATCAGCACAAATAAACAGAGGTTGGAAAAGAGGGAAGCAAGATTCCACAGACCTATAAAGAGGGAACAAAAACAAGAAAGATTAGAGACAGGCCTTTAAAAAAAAAATTACTACGCTAAATTATGATATTAGTCAAAGATGCATACTTTTTAATAAAAATAAACATCAACTTGGAGAGTAGCCTAACAAATCACCTACGCTTAGAGATGAGAAAATAATTTCATATTTAAAAACACGTTTTAGTGTTTATTTTTTTGAGAGAGACACAAAACACAAGAGGGGGAGGGGCAGAGAGAGAAGGAGACACAGCATCCGAAGCAGGCTCCAGGCTCTGAGCTGTCAGCACAGAGCCCGACGTGGGGCTCCAACTCAACAAGCTGCGATCATGACCTGAGCCCAAGTCCGATGCTTAACCGACTGAGCCACCCAGGAGCATCAATAAATTCATATTTAAAATTCGTGCAACTTTGTAACCTGTACCTATTAGGAGAAGCTAACACAGAAACTAGAAACATTCTTCCTTGTGTCCTAAACAAAGTCACTAAAGAGATGACAAATGCAGAGATCTAAAGATACAGTCTCTTCAGACACACTGGCACCTGAATATTTATAGGCACTAGTCTACACGGAACACTTAGTAAATGCCAGGTACTCTAGCAGACATTTTACATGCATAATATCATTTAAGTCAAGTCTGATAAAAACCCTAAATTAATAATTAGCATTTGCAGAGCCCTTCTGTGCCAAGCACTATTTTAAGTGATTTACTGGGATTATACAAACTCACGTACCCCTCACGGCAGTACCCCGACAGGACAGAGGCAGAGGCTGGCTAGCTACCTTGCCAAGGTTGCAGAGCCTGCCCCTGGCAGAGCTAATTCCTGGGATTTTTAAAAACCACCACAACACGGAAGTGTTAGTAAGCAATTCTAAGTGGGGAAGAAAATGTAAGAGAGGTAGGCAAGCTCCTATCACCGTTTTCTGTTTTGGCACATTCTGTACTCTTTTTTTTTTTTTAAGGTTTATTTATTTATCTATTTTGAGAGAGAGAGACAGAGCGAGAGAGAGAGAGAGTAGGGGAGGGGCAGGGAGAGAGGGAGAGAGAGGATCCCAACTCGGGGCTCAATCTCATAACCCTGAGATCATGACCTGAGCTGAAATCAAGGGTCAGATGCTTAACCAACTGAACCACCAGGCGCCCCACATTCTGTATTCTTCTACAGTCACAATAAAAAGCTACTGAAACTATAATGAAAACAGATTTAGAAAAAGAAGACTTTAAGTCTGTCTTTGGGATTATATGTGGCCAAATATCTTACACCTTTATACATCTTTTCTAGGTAAAACACTCAAATTTAAAAGTGATTTTCAGGAGCACCTGGCTAGCTCAGTCAGTACAGCATGTGGCTCTTGATCTCAAGCTCATGAGTTTGAGCCCCACGTTTGGTGTAGAGACTGCTTAAACAAATAAACTTAAAAAAAATTTTTTTAATAAAATGGATTTTCAAAATAATGCCTATGGTATTTATAAAATCAAGAGTTAAAGATAAAATTATGCTAAGTATAAACTCAACCTATTGCCTGAAACTCTAATTCAGTGCTCTTGAACATGGGCGACTGATGTTCTTTCAACGACCTCATTTAGAAGGCACTGTCCCAAGCACTGACAACACAGTAATGAACAAAACACAAACCCTCTGTTTTCACCAAAATATGGTGTGGGCAGGGGCGACTAGGGGGCTCGGGTCGGTGAAGCATCGACTCTTGATTTCAGCTCAGGTCAAGATCTCATGGTGCCTGAGATCAAGCCCCCCACGTTAGGCTCTGTGCTGGCATCGCGGAACCTGCTTAAGATTCTCTCTCTTCTCTTTCCCTCTCCTGCTTGTGCTCCCACACATGCTCACTCTCTATTTAAATAATCTTTAAAAAAATATATATGGTATAGACAGTCTTTTCAGTCTCAGCCATTCTAACAGGTGCACAGCAGTGTCTCCTTACTGCTGTGATTTGCATTTCTCGGGGCACCTGAGTGGCTCAGTTGGTTAAGCGTCCAACTCTTTATTTGGGCTCAGGTCATGATCTCACCGTTCATGAGTCAAAGCCCCAAGTCAGGCTCTGCACTGACAGATCCTCTCTCTGCCCTTCCCCAGCTCACGTGTTCTCCCTCTCCCTCTCTCACACAAAATAAATAAACTTTAAAAAAAAATACTTAATTTGCATTTCCCTAATCAATAAGTAATGACGTGAACATCTTTATGAACTTATCTGTCATCCATTTCTATCTTCTTTGGTGAAAGTGTCTCTTCAAGTCTGTTGCTTACTGTTTCATTAGATTGTTTGTTTACTTACTATTGAGTTTGGCAAGCTCTTTATATACTCTGAATACAAGTCCTCTATCAGGCATATAATTTGCCGATATTTTAACCCCATCTGTAGATTGTCTTTTCACCCTTTTAAACAAGTATCTTTCAGAGAACAAAATTTCTTTTGACAAAGTCCAATTTATCAACTTTTTCTTTTACAGACCATGCTTTAGACAAGAAATTATGGTCTATCCCAGTCTCATCAAGACTTCCTCCTGTTTCTTTCTACAGGGGTTACAGTTTTAAGATTTACATTTAGACCTACGATCCCTTTGACTCACTTTTTGTATATGGTGCCAGGTATGGACTGAAGTTCAGTTTTTGTCTATGATTATCCAATTGCTCCAACACCATTTGTAGAAAAGATTACCCTTTTTCCACCAAATCGCCTTTGCACTTTCGTTGGAAGTAAATTGACAATATATGTGTAGATATATTCCTGGATCCTCTATTTCATCAAGTCGATCTATTTATTGTTATGGTGATACCACACCATCTTGATTAATATGGCCTTAAAATAGTCTTCAAGTTGGGTAGTAAGTCTTCCAATTTTGTTATCTTTCAAAGTTGTTTTGGCTATCGTAAGTCCTTTGAATTCCCATCTGAATTTCAGATCAGGTTGTCAATTTCTACCCCCAAAACAGTGGGGGCGGGGTGAGGGCTGCTAGGATTCTGAATGAGATTGCATTGAATCTACAGACCAATATGGGGAGAAATGACATCTTAACATTGTCTTCTGCTCAATGAACATGATATATCTCTCCATTTATTGTGGTATTCTTTAAGTTTTGTCAGCAGAGTTTTAATAGTGTACAGTATATAGGTCTCACACATCCCTAAATATATCATATTTCTGATGCTACTGTATACAAATGGCACGTTTTTTTTTAACCAATTTCCAATTATTCATGGTTAGTACATATATAGAAATGCAACTGAGTTTTGTGTATTTATCATGTATCCTGCAACACTGTAAACTCATTGATTCTAATAGCTTTTTAATAATATATTCCATCACAATTTCTATATAGACAACCATCTCATCTGTTAATACAGCTTCACTTTTTCCTTTCCAACATCAATGTCCTTTATTTTCTAAAAATCACCAGAATTCAGAATACTGAATAGAAGTGGTGAGAGGGGATATCCTTGCCTTGTTTCTATTCTCAGGGAAAAGCATTCAGTTTACTACTAAGCATGATGTTATCTGTAGGGTTTTTACAGATGCTCTTTACTAGGATGAAGAAATTAAATTCCCTTTCATGCCTAGTTTGCTGAGATTTTATCAAAAATGGATGGTGAATTTTGCTCTTCTGCATGTACTGTGGTGACTTTTCTTTTTTAGCGTTGGAATATGGTAAATTACATTGATTTTTCAAGTCATGATGTATTATCCTTTTCATATATCGTCACATTTGATTTACTAAATTTTGTTTAGAATTTATGCATTTGCGTTCATGAGGGATACTGGTCTGTAGTTTTCTTTTCATGTAATGTCTGTCTGGTTTTGGAATCAGGGTAATGCTGGGCACAATGAATTAGTAAGTACTCCCTCAGTTTCAATTTTCTGAAAGAGTGTGTAGAACTGGTATTGCTTCTTCCTCAAATATTTGGTAGAAGTGACAGTTAAGTCTTCTTGGCCTAGAATTTTATTTGTGAGAATGTTTGTAACATTTCTACAATGTCTGAGAGACTTTAGTAATTTCTGCCTTTCAAATTTTTCCATTTCTCTAAGGGGTTGTATTGGCATAAGGTGTTTACAATGTGCACTAATAACCCTTTTAATACCTGTAGAATCCATAGTGATGTCATCTCTCTCATTCTTGATATTGGTAATTGGTGTCTTTTTTTTTGTTATTGACCACTCTGGCTGCAGCTTTATCAATTTAATTGATCTTCTCACTTTCTCTATTTTCCATTGCATTGATTTCTACTCTTATCTTTTTTTTTTTTTACTTCCAATCTTCTTAATTTGGGATTCATTTCCTCTTCCTGGTTTCTTAAGGTGGAAATTGTGGGCATTGATTTGAGACCTTTTTTCTTTTCTGTTTCAGGCATTTTAGTACTATAAATGTTCATATGTTTTAAATGCTTAATAGTTCAAAGTACTTTCAAATTTCCCTTTCGATTTCTTCTTTGACCTACTAGTTATTTAGTTAACAAATAATTGAGGGATTGTCTATGTTTCTATTCCTGGTTTCCCATTTAATTTCGCAGTCATTAGAGAACATATTTTGTATGACTTAAATTCTTCTAAAAGTACTGAGACTAAATAGGCAAAGAATATGGGCTCTCCTGATAAATGTGCCTAGAGTACTTGAAAATAATGTATATTCTACTACTGTTGGGCAGAGAGTTCTATAAATGCAAAATTAGGCCAAATTAAGAGTGCTATTCAAATTTTCCATCTTATTAATTTTTTCCTAATTTGTTCTATCAATTATTAAAAAGAGAGTAGCAATAAATCTGAATAACACTATGATTTTGACTATTAATCCTTTCATTTATGTAAGCTTTTCCTTCATGCATTTAATAGCTACTTATTAGGTAGATAAATGTTTATTATGTTTTGATAAATGAACTCCCTCATCATGATGAAATGATCTTATTTATGCCTAGCAAAATCGATACCTTTTTCTAATAATAATGTAACTATTCCACCTTTCTTTTTATTACAATTAGGATGGTA